GCATGAGTCAGGAGAGAAGCATGCACCAAGAGTATCAATCCCTTCAAGTTGGTCAAGCAAGGACATCAATCCTTTCACGTTTTGGTAAATCAATAATACCAATCCTTTCAAGCTGGTGAGGCAAGAAGGTGTTCATGGATGCCATAGCAAGAAGGTGGAGGCTTCTCAGTGGCGAGACCGAGTGGGAGGGTCTACTTTACCCTCTCGACATTGATCTCCGCCGCTATATCATTCACTATGGAGAAAGGGCTTCCGCCATTGCTGATGCCTTTATCGACGAGCCAAAATCGAAGAACTCCGGACTCCCTCGATATGCAAAGAGAAACTTGTTCTCCAAGGTGGGTTTGGAGAGTTATAGTCCATACAAGTACGTTGTGAAGACGTACTTATATGCAGCAACAAAATTAGTGCCCGGGAAATCGATCTGGTTGGGTTATGTTGCAGTGACAACAGATGAAGGGAAGCGCGTGTTGGGGAGGAGGGATATTCTGATTTCATGGAGAGGAACCAAGTTGGAGAAGGAGTTTGATATTGACAGAGAGACCACTTTGGTCCCAGCTTCTGACGTTCTGGGCAAGGACAATGTCAATAAGCCTAAGGTGCACTCCGGTTGGCTTAACTATTATACTAGTTGCAGAAACCAGGTATAGTTTTTGGAGGTTCGTTATCATTAATTTTTAACTTCAGTTTAGTCTCTTATTTCCGAAAACACGCTAAAATTTCTACCCTCAAATCAACAGTTAACTGTTTTTCGATTTTAGTGATCTTTCGGAGAGAGAATTATGAATAATGACGATTCAGATCAATAGAATACAATGCGAAACAGAATCTTACAAGAATGTCCCTCATATAAGTCAATAGAAACTCTCTATGTTATACAAATTATTATACTATACGTTTGTCCAATTTAATATTCCATGCATAATTTGTCCATTTTAATTGAATTTTCCATGTTCAGTCCCACCTTCTAAGCGTACCCTAACTATATACATACATCAATGTTTCCTTAATCAAAGAATTGTTGAATTTTCCATTGTCTCAGGCTCTTGTTGCAGTCAAAGAACTGTTGAAGAAATACAAGGGCGAGGAGATCAGCATAACTGTCACGGGCCATAGTATGGGTGCAGCAATTGGAATCCTAAACGCAACGGACATTGTTTATAATGGATACAATAAGCTTAGCGACAAGCCAGGCAAGGCATCTCTCGTCACGGCCATTGTGTTTGCCTGCCCCGGCCTCGGAGACTCAGGCTTCAACAAAGTATTCGCCAGTCTAAAAAATCTTCACGTCCTGCGTGTTGCGAATACTAATGATCTTGCCCCTATTTTATCACCTGAAGGAAAATATGTCCATGTCGGAAAGGAGTTGCGATTCAACAGTCTTATGTCGCCCTACCTCAAGGCTCTTTCGGATTATGATGACTGGATCGGCATAGTAGAGATGTTTCACGATTTGGAGGTTTACTTGCATGGAGTTGCAGGGACGCAAGGTGAAAATGGTTTCAAATTGGCAGTGGATCGTGACATTGCCCTGGTAAACAAATTGTTGGATGCCGTAAAAGATGAGTACCGTATTGTTGTTAAGTGGTGGATAGAGAAGAACAAGTCCATGGTTCAACAGGATGATGGCTCCTGGGTTTTAATGGATCACGAGAAAGATGACGATGCATGAAAACCATGTGGTTGATCAACGAATATTATATATGCATGACAATGTCGCATAAATAAAGTTTGCCCCTGTTGTGGCCTTTTATGTACTCTTTCTTTTACTATCAATGAAGTTCTATACATCTTATTGCCCCTCGAATTAAGCACCAAAAGATTAAAATTGGTGAAATAAAGAAATTTTAGTTACTAATTTGGACCTAAACTAAGTCCTTTTTATGATCTTCTGTTTCAGCCAAACTAAAATCACTCAATGTGGATTTAGGGCTCGTTTGTGAGTGATTTTAAGTAATTCTAGGGAGAAGCACCTCCCGTGTGCTTCTCCATAAAATCACTTAAAGGGATTATTTGGAGAAGTGATTCTCCGTAAAAATGATTATTGGCTTCTCCAGAATCACTTCCAAACGAGCTATTAATTAAAGACCAATCTAGCTTTCTAATATGTGTTTTTCTGATTTTTCCGTTTTCCTTTCATTTTATACAAGGGTAACAGGCAGTTTTGGGTACACAAATATTGTAGTAAGGTTCAGTGAGCAAATAATAGGGTCTATATAGAATTTCCCTAAAACAAAAATGTACAAGATCAAGAGATTGATCAAGATTAACATAACAGTAAGATGAAAAGATTTGTGTCTGTTTTCCTTAGGGGCTTTTTTGTGTGTATAAATTCTAGTTACGTGTTTCGGTTTACTAACAAGATTTTTGAGACATTTCTCATGTTCACCTTTGTGTATACACACATATGTATGTATATGTATATACGTGTTTTGTTTATCTGTTAATCATAGTTTAAGAATACCATATATCAACTTAATAATTTTGAGAAAGTAACGAAATTAATTATCAAAGAAAATAAATAAATAAAAAGCAAAACAGATACGTGATTAGAGATTACCAAAGAGGTTGGATGGTGCATGTCAGTCATGACAGAAGCATGCATCAAGAATATCAATCCCCTCAAGTTGGTTAAGCAAGAAGATCAATGCTTTGGAAGTTTGTTAGTTACTAATATCAATCCTTTGCAAGCTGGTTAAGCAAGAAGAAGACAATCATGAATAGCATAGCAAAAAGGTGGAGGCGTCTCAGCGGCGAGACTGAGTGGGAGGGTCTACTCAACCCTCTCGACCTTGATCTGCGCCGCTATATCCTTCACTATGGGGAAAGGACTGCCGCCACAGCTGACGCCTTCATTGATGAGACAAAATCGGACAACTGCGGACTTCCTCGATATGCAAAGAGATATTTGTTCTCTAAGGTAGGTTTGGAGAATTCTAATCCATACAAGTACAAGGTGAAGAAATATTTATACGCTGCAACCACATTATCACCCGGGAAATCAATATGGTTAGGTTATGTTGCAGTGACAACGGATGAGGGAAAGAAAGTGTTGGGGAGGAGGGACATTTTGGTTTCATGGAGAGGAACGGAGCTGGTGGAGGAGTGGGGTATTGACATAGTGTTCGATTTGGTTAGTGCTTCTGATATTCTAGGAGAGAAGCATGACCCTAAGGTTCACCATGGTTTCCATTCCTATTACACTCATGTTGACCCTCAGTCTCCACACAACAAAACTAGTTGTAGGGCTCAGGTAACTTTGTTTTATTAATGTTTTAGTTTTTGTTAGATGAGCTAGCTAGTGATGTGCATTGGAAACTACTTCTGTAGAAGACACTTTTGCTCATAAGCGGTTTTTAAAAGAAGCGCTTCTATTTCTATTAGAAGTACTTCCAAGTTTAGTTTATTAAAAATTCAAGTGTTTCCTTAAAAAAAAAAAAACTTAGAAGTGATTCTTGAAGAAGTTCCTAGAGTATTTTTGTGACCAATTTGAACCATCGTACCAAATATCGGATGAATATATATTTATGGTTTAGTTTTTGCTACAGTCTAAATTTTTGTTGCTCCTATATGTAAACAAGACAACAACATTTCTTTGGAGAAAAAATTGAAATATTCTGATCTGCAAAAGAAATAAAGTTTATGTATTCTTGTATTTTCAGGCTTTAGCTGCAATTAAAGAAGTAGTGAACCGATACAAGAATGAGACAATCAGCATAACTGTCACTGGCCACAGCATGGGCGCTGCAATGGGAATTTTAAATGCTACAGACATTGTTAATAATGGATACAATAAGCCCCCAGGCCATCCAGTCTGTCCTGTCACTGCCATTGTGTTTGCTGCCCCTCGTCTTGGAGACCAAGGCTTCAGCAATGTGTTCTATGGTCTGAAAAATCTTCACGTCTTGCGTGTCACGAATGACTACGATTTAATCCCTTCTTTACCGCCGTTTGCAAACTATCTTCATGTCGGAAAAGAGCTGAGATTCGACACTTTCAAATCACCGTATTTGAAGGATCCAAAACAGAGCCTGCACAGTTTGGAGGTTTACTTACATGGAGTTGCAGGAACACAAGGAGAAAATGATTTTAAATTGGCAGTCAAACGTGATCTTGCATTAGTAAACAAATATTTGGACGGGCTAAAAGATAAGTATCTTGTAGTTGCTAAGTGGTGGACAGAGAAGAACAAGTCTATGCTTCAAGTGGGCGACGGCTCCTGGGTGTTGATGGATCATGAAAGCGATGATGATTGATGTGCCTAATATTTGTGGAGTTACATGCCATACGTTTCTATTTATTTGCTTATCATTACATGTCATACTTGATAATAAATAATTTAAGCTAATAATCACATGTTATATTTTGTTGAAGAAGCAACAATATTTTATTAATAAGATAAACAAAACAAGCACAAAACAACTAAGATGCCGAATATGAATACAACTTATAAAGCAAATTTCACCAAATGGACAGATTAGATCAATATCATATTGCAAAATTGTTGTTAATATTTTAAGTCGTTTGCCGCCTTACTCCCAAAACAAAGGGTTAAGTAGCTGGACTTAATAATCATTACAAGATTACATATATTAGACGTTAATTATGACGTGAAGAGCATGCCCATAATGCATTAAACAAAGAATTAATAATCAAGTGATATTAAACAATCATATGACTTTTCAACCCAAAAAAAAAAAAATTATATGACTAGCAATAATGATCCAAAATATATATATGCGTGCAAGACATCAAGGTTTCAATATTAATATACTACATCCTTATCATATTTAGTCCTTTCAAGTTAACTAGCTGGCCGGTAAACAAAGCAAGCAAAAACCAAACATGTGGGACATTAAATATTTAATTGGAGGCCTTGTTCATGCGGCTGGGAATTTGACCAATTGCTAATTTTGAAGAGCAAAGAAACAGGATAAGTAGTACATCCTTCACTATAAATACAGGAGCTTCGACATCGATAGATAATGCATCAAGGTTAATTTGTTCCAATTAATCCTCTCTATAGTTGTTTATTGGTAAAGCAAAAGAAATTTTTTTAACTTCATGGGTAGCTTCGCAGCCAGGTGGAGGGTTCTGAGCGGCGAGGACGAGTGGGAGGGTCTACTAGACCCTCTCGACATCGATCTTCGCCGCTACATCATTCACTATGGTGAAAGGGCTGGAGCCATTGGTTACGGATTCATTGACAAGCCAACATCAATTTCGAAGAATATCGGACTTCCCCGGTATGCCAAGAGAAATTTATTCTCTAAGGTGGGTTTGGAGACAGGCAATCCATACAAGTACGAGGTGAAGAAGTATTTGTATGCAGCAACAAGATTTGCGCCTGGGAAATCAATCTTGTTGGGATTTGTTGCGGTGTCGACGGATGAAGGAAGTAAAGTGTTAGGAAGGAGGGACATTCTGATTTCATGGAGAGGAACCATGTTGGACCAAGAGGTAGAGGTCGACGCTACGATACTTTTTTTCTCAGCTTCTGATATTCTGGGGAAGGAACATAATCCTCAGGTGCACCTTGGTTGGCATGGCTATTATACTAATCTTGACTCTGAGTCAGCACACAATAAAACTGCTAGTTGCAGAGATCAGGTATATATAAGTTTCTTTTTAATTCTATTTTTGTTTTAAGTTGAATTGATAGTAATTCTACAAGTACCAACTGTTATCTCAATTTGAAAGAAAGAAGATGATTGTATTCATAAATCAGGCACAAAGACCATTAGCCACGAATGCCAGAACAAATACCACTAAAAGTAAGTTCTTGAGTTTTTATAAAATAAACGAGATAGTTTGAACACTTACATCCTTATTGCTCTAAATTAAGTACTATAAAGGAGTGTAAGTGGATAAAATTGGAGAGAGAAATCACCACTCTTGTAATATTATACTTGAAAATCAACGGTAGTATGGTAATAGACATAAAAAGGGTAAAATAGTAATGAAATATCACCCGAACCATCTTTTTTCTTTGATAAATTTTTTTTTTTGTTACCAAACCAACTCCCATCCAAACACATCGCACTTTTCTTTTAATATTCTATATAGTCACGAAATTCACACAGAACAAGTGTAATTACTCATATTAAACAAACCAAACATTCAACATGGCTTATGATTTGATCAAGCTTTATAACACCAAATCAGATATTTCAACTGGATTGATCAAGTTTTATAACAGAAAAATTAAAGTGAAAACATAAATTTCCACCTACATCTTCTGTATATTGTTTGCAGGTTCTAGCTGCAGTTAGAGAACTAGTAGACCAAAACAAGGACGAGGAGATCAGCATTACTGTCACTGGCCACAGCATGGGTTCAGCTATTGCAGTTCTAAATGCAACTGATATTGTTTATAACGGATACAATAAGCCTACAAACTCAAACAATGTGAGTCTTGTCACAGCCATTGTGTTTGCCTGCCCAAATGTGGGAGACCAAGGCTTCAAGAAGGTATTCTCTAGTCTCGAAAATCTTCGGGTCTTGCGTATCACCAACGAATGGGATCCTGTCCCTAAGTTACCAATTCTACCTTATGTTCCTGTTGGAAAAGAGTTGGTAATCGACACTCTCAAATCGCCCTACTTGAAGAATGCAATAGACTCTGTGCATCAGTTGGAGGTTTACTTGCATGGAGTGGCAGGAACACAAGGGAGAAACAATGATTTTAAATTGGAAATTAATCGAGATCTTGCATTGGTAAACAAAATTTTGGATGGTCTAGATGATAAATATCATATAATTCCTAAGTGGTGGATAGAGAGGAACAACTCTATGGTTCAGATGGAGGACGGCTCCTGGGAGTTAATGGATCATGAGAAAGATGACGACGACGATGATGATGGAGCCCAGTATTTAAATTGACAATCATGTGGGACTGGGATAAGGAACAACTCCACGCACCAAATAAACTATAGCATCTAGTTTTAATGTTCCTATTGTTTCCTTAGTTTGTAGCTCAAATGGTTAAGAGCATGTACCCTTACACTCGAAGTTTGGTTCGATTTCCCTCCTCTTCTAACTTGTATAAAAAATAAATAAAATAAAATCAAGAATTCCTTTTCGTTTGTCCAAGAATTTTCGCAACCTCATTGTTTGTGCAAATTGTTAACTAATTAAACTTTCCTTGCACACCAAGGATTTCCATATTAATTGTAATTAATTTCCCTTTTATTTTTGATTTCCTACTATAAATAGAATTAGGAGTTATTAATTTCCTTGGCCTTCAAGTTTTTATTGTACTATAAATATGACCTCCTACAAGGACTTATACACAAAATTCCAACAAACGCATATTCTGTCATAGTTTCTCATACTTTAGCATGGTATCATAGTAGCGATCTTGGGATTGCCGACTCTAGCTTCAAACCCTCGCCACCATGGGGGAGGATGAGTTTTTCATTCCTCATGAAGGTAGCACCATCGACCCCACCTCTCCTTCTCACCCTACTTTAGCTGAATTGAGTGTTCAGATGTCTCAGTTCCTAAAGGTAGCTTTGCAGCTAGGTGGAGGGTTCTGAGTGGCGAGGACATATGGGAGGGTCTGCTAAACCCTCTCGACATCTATCTTTGCCGCTACATCATTCATTACTGTGAAAGGGCTGGAGCTATTGGTTACGGATTCATCGACAAGCCAACATCAATTTCGAAGAATATCAGACTTCCCTGGTATGCTAAGAGAAATTTATTCTCTAAGGTGGGTTTGGAGACATGCAATCCATACAAGTATGAGGTGAAGAATTCTGCTTTTTCTGTCCTCCCTCCTAATTCCACCTCTTGGTTTGCTCTTGCTCCTCATGTTACTCACATTCCTTTCCAAGTAGCCACCATGCCATCACCATTGGCTGCCACCTACTCGCTGACTGCACCACCCACATCATCCTCCACTGCCTCTTTTGCCTTGGAGTAGCTTTGCCCCCTTGCGCACATACCACCCACGACCCCTCTGTCTCTTCACTTCCGCCACAAAACCCACCCCCTTCTAACCCACCCCATACTACTCATACCCCTCCACAAACCAAGAACCCAACCCATCTCCCTTCCAATCCAACCCCTACTGAACCCGTAACCCAACCTCCCCAACCATCCCATATTCGTACCTACACCAGAACCCAAATAGACTCGTTCTTACCTTCCTAGCCACTGATCTATCGCCTCCCCCAACACCTTCTATCGCACTACCCATGGTTCTCGATCACCAAATGGTGATGCGTGCCAAAGCCGGTATTCGCAAGCACAATCCTAGTTATGCTCTAGTCGCTACCAAACACCCTATACCCTCATCTGTTGAGCCGACATGTGTTTCTCATGCCATTAAATACCCTCATTGGTGAGCTGCCATGTCCATTGAGTTTAATGCTTTCATTAGCAATGGAACTTGGGAGCTTGTTCCACATGACCCTCATTGTTGTAGACGTGGAATTTTATTGAAATATAAATTTGCTAATTTACAGTTAATAGTCAAAATTCAAAATTTGACTAGTTAAAGATAACTGGAAAATTTGTGGGTTCCACATAAATACACGTGGCACATGACTCATGCAGACAAAGGTGTGCACCAGAAATGACATTTGTTAGCATCTAAGATCTTCATCAATCAAATGAAATCATATGCCAAAAAGGAATACATTATCCTTATTTGGTCATCTTCCTAAATCACAAGTTAATTTTCCTAAATGAAGGATTTTGACTTAATTAAGAGCTAAATTAAATCAATTAGCTCAAATTAAATCAAATCAGAAACCAATTCCACAAATCAAGGGATTCAGCTTGGGGATTCCAAACTAAGACTCAATTCTTTGCCTATAAATACTAGGCTCATATTCGTGAGAAAGGACCTTTGGAGGGAGAAGACACACACACTTTGTAAAACAAGAGAGATCTTTACCTGAAGCAACACCTAGACTCTCAAGTTCTTCATCAAGCTCGTGGAGAATCACTAAGCACAACAAACACGTGTCGATTCCTCCACTGCCAAAGTCGAAGACTATCCACCACGTGACACTACTCGTGGTCCTGACGTATTCGAGATCAAGCCGTGACGGCCCTCAACGAAGTCTCAAATTCCGATTCAAGATCAAGTGCTTGGCACCCTTGAACCGCACACATACTCTTGAAGATCGAATAAGAGGAAATTCTTTTATTTTTGTAAAAGAATACCCACAAAGATTGTAACCTACACACTTGATAAATCAATACAAATATTATTTTGTACACGTGTTCTTGTCTTATTTGTCGCAGGAAATTTGTGTTTACAGTTGTAAATGGGTGTTTCGTATCAAACGACACCCTGATGACACTATTGACAAGTACAAGGCCCGTTTGGTCACCAAGGGCTTTCATCATTGCCCTGGCGTCAATTTCTAGGATACTTTTAGTCTAATGGTCAAGCCCACCAACATCCATGTTGTGTTGCATCTTGCCGTGCCTAATGGCTGGTCTATTCGTCAATTGGATGTCAACAATGCCTTTCTTCATGACACAATCAGTGACACTGTTTATATGTCACAACCCCCGGGTTTTGTTGATGCCAACCTACCATCTCATGTTTGTGAACCCTAGAAGGCTCTTTATGGCCTTAAGCAGGCACGCCAGACATGGTACAAGGAATTGAGCTCATTCTTGCTCTCTAATGGCTTCTGCAATGCTACCTCTGATGCCTATCTATTTATTTCTACCTTTGGCAGTCATGTCATTTATTTCTTGGTTTATGTTAATGATCTTATTGTTACTGGCAACGATTCTTCTCTTGTAATGCAGTTCATTGCCACATTGGCTTATCGGTTCTCTATCAAATACTTGGGGTTTCTTCATTACTTCCTTGGTGTTGAGGTTGTTCCCACCACGACTGGTCTCTTTCTCTCCCAACACTATTACATTCGTGATCTCCTGCTCAAAGCAAAAATGGACAGTGCTAAGGAGGTCAGCACTCCATTATCTCCTTATGATAGTCTTGTGCTCAATGATGGCTCTCCGCCTACTGATGCTTCTCGATTTCGTCAAATCATTGGTGGTGGTCTTCAACATCTCAACCTCACACGCCCTGACATATCCTTTGCCGTTAATAAACTCTCTCAGTTCATGTATCAACCTTCGGAATCTCACTAGCAAGCCCTCAAGTGTCTCCTTCGTTACGTGAAAGGCACCTTATACTTTGGTCTTCATCTTTCTCGCTGCTCCTCTCACCGTCTCTATGCTTTCTCTTATGCGGATTTGGCCGGCAATCGTGATGACTATAAATCCACTACTGTCTATGTTGTTTATCTTGGTGGAAACCTCATCTCTTGGAGCTCTCGCAAGCAACGCTCTGCACCGAAGCGGAATATCATGCCATTACTACCACCACTGCAGAAATTGTAGGGATTCAATTCCTGTTACGTGAACTTGGCATTTCCCTTCCCGCACCACTGCTCATTGCCTTGGACAACATTGGAGCCACATTTTATTGTGCTAATCCAATTCTCCATTCTCGCATGAAATATATTGATATTGATTTTCAGTTTGTCCGGGATCGTGTCAATATTGGTCTTCTTAAAGTTTCTCATGTTTCTACAGTTGACCAGCTTGCCGACGCCCTCACCAAACCACTTCCACGTCTGCATTTTGATCTTCTCCGGTCCAAGATCGGTGTCTCCGATGGGACCACCATCTTGCGGGGGCTTAAAAGGGAACCTTCATCAAAGGAAATCACCTCATCATCAACGCAATCATCTGCAATCTTTCACCAAAGTCAACCTTGATTTCTGCCTTCCTGTCATAGCTGATCTGGATTGATTCTCTACATCAATCCTGTTGTATTTACCTTATTTAGACATTATCAATGTGTATATAATAGTCAGCCCATGTATCTGTAATCAATCTATGAACTATACCATTCATTCTTAATCTCTTTAGAAGCAACCATTACCTTCCCATTATCATATTGACAACAAGTTTCATTTTTGCTCCATTTCCGACCTGCCCCAGGTAGGAAGACTTCTTTCCCATGACATTAAAAGCAGGAATCACTTCCTCGTACAATGCCTACATTTATAATTAGTGAACTGCTGCAGCAATGTTACAAATAAACATACATTTTTAACCTGCGGACAGGAATAAGCATGTGAGGAATCCTACTCCTTACTTAACCATAGGTATTGCAATCATGACTCCGAACGGAAGAATATAATATAGTTATTGTATTTTGTAGCCCATCCCTTACTCAAAACTCTGCAACTCTAGCCCTAGGAAAAAAGAGCTTTATAATAACCCTAGAGGATATATTTTCTTTTTTGTTCCCTTCACGATATCTGGTTCTGTTTGAATTTCGCTTTCTTTAAACTAAAAGATCTGTACAACTTTGAGGTTTTCAGGAATAAAAATAAAAACATTACCTATTGTTTACACCATAATTAACCAAGCGTGATTGAACACCAAGGTAGACATGTCTTCCTCCCTGCCAAAGGGAGATGTTCTTCCGAGGGGACAACCACCTGCCGAAGCTCCGAACTGCCAAACCTAAAACACAGGAGACACGTGTCATCATCACAGCAACTTGCACAAAGTCCCACATCGGAACTTTGTGCAAACCTCCTACTTTTACTTCCTTATAAATGGGGAACAGTAACCAAGAAAAAGGGTAACTTCTCTCTCTCATTATTACTGTCACTTTGCAAAAGTCACTACCCCTAGTTGACTCAGGCATCGGAGAGCCTTCGGCCGGCACCACACCGGTGTCCGAAGCTTAACGACTGCTTATCCTATCTTTGTCTTCTGCAGGTTAGCCCTCTACTGAAGGCCCAGACCCTTCTCTTGCCAAAGACAATCCCTTATCGCTAAGTTGACCCTCTCCGAAAAAGAGCATCAACAGTTTGGCGCCGTCTGTGGGAATCCCATACTTAAAACCCATTTTTCTCTACCAGCCCAGCTGGCTCCTTCACCTATCCGGCCCCGTCGCCTCTTCTTCACTCCACATTCAGCCATGCCTACTGAGGATAGCCGCGATGCCCAGCGCAGTATCCCTCAGGAAGGTACCTCTCAGAAGGGACCATCAGCAGAAGTCAACCTCCAGGCCGAGGTGGAACTCCTCCACGCCAGTGTCGTCAAGATGTCCGAGAGGTGTGACCATCTTCACTCCAGGAATGTTGAGCTGGAACACGACTACTGCGTCCTGAAGCGAAACTGGGAACGGAACCAAGCCCAGGGCTCCCAACGCAGCCTTACCCAGGAACCTGAGCGCACACAGCCAAACCAGCCGGAGCATTCCCACCATGGCCCCCCAATCCAGCCTAGGCCCAGCAAGGGTAAGGACCCCCTCCATCCGGAGACGACTAAGTCGCGCCTTCTCCGTATCTCCCCCCCGAGGAACCG